ATCACTTACCAAAAAGAATATTAGTAGTGCACTCAGATCTACTTGTCTTATTATTTTTAAAGAAATATATATTCTCTTTTAAGAAAAGTACAAGGTCTATACTCTTTACTATTACCCACCTGTGCTTACAACAAAATTTTTTAAAAAAGTAGACAAAACAGTTTATTTCTATTAAAAGATCAGCATTATTTACTCCTTCCAAATTTGGTCGACTCAGTAGATTGCAACTACAGTATGTGTTTTTTTTAATAACAATCATATTGCTACTTCATGTGACAAGGCCTATTGATTGTCTTCAGTTAAAGGTTTATCTAAAATTGGTTATATAGTCAAAAAGAAATGAATATGTTAAGGCAAAGTCTTACAGTAGAAATATACAGATGTTGTATTTGTTATACAATTTTTTAAGCCTAGTACAGGTTATAATAGTACACTTCCCTTTTTTTAGTATGTCAGATTACTATATCTTTTTTTTGCTTTTTTTATCTTTGTTTATTTATAATCGAATCAAATTTAGAACATACATTTTTTTTTCTTGTTCTTGTTTTTTTTTTTTTCTTTTTTTGTCTTTTTCTCTTCCTAAATCTTGTTCTTCTTTTATAAAATGTGACATATACTTTATTCTTTTATAAAAAAGTAAGAGATAAACTATTTTGCCTGGATCTAGATAAAAAAAATTTTAAAGAAGGATAGGTAGTCTTGATAAGCTAGTAGGAATCATTCAGTAATATTGTATCTCTTTTAGTACAGAAAGTGGTATTTTGAAAAAAAATCTTGCTTATAGCAGGTCGCACATAGGTAATTTGAACTTTGGTCACAAAAAGCCAGGTAAGCCAATACTTGTAAATTAGACATTGGAAAGATTAGCCTTCTGTAAACTGTAATACAGTATTTCCTAGTATAATATTATAAGGTCTAATAAAGTGTAGACAAGACTGCTAAAATTATAAAAAAAAAAAAAGTTTATTTTAAATATAATATAAAGTTTTGAAAAAATCTACTTTAAATTCACTTTGAACAAAATCTTGGATATCTTTAATATAGATTATAACTAGATTTTAATTGATTTTAATTTAATTTACTAAAAATTAAAAATTTATCTTTCTTAAATAATTCAGAATCTAGTAATCAGAATTGAATATATTTTTTTTATTAAATACACCTTATCAAGAGCTTTTATTTTAAAAAAAAGTTTATTTAAACTGAACTATTAGTTGTCAAAAAACTATTTTTTGTCTATTTTAAATCCAAAGTGTGTTTACTTTGAACCCAAAGTGATAATTCTAAGTTAAATGGTAGTTAGATCATCAAAATTGGGCAAGATTAAAAATATAAATATAAGGATTAATAAATTTGCTATTATATAAAAATCAATACTTCATATAATAGTAATCTTGCTAATCCTTATATTTATACTTTAATCCAAAGTATTTCAAGAAGTTATCTTTATTTAATAACTTATTGCATAAATTTAAAGAAATTAAGAAATTATAAAAATAATAAATTTAATATTATACAATTTAATTGAATTATTTATATTAGTATTCTAAATATTACTATATGGGCTGCCGTTAATAAAAATCAAGCAGATCTACATTTGAAAAAAAATTAATGTCTTAACTTTTACAGCTCATATCTCGATGAATTTTAAAGCCATGTTGATGGTTTAATGTTTGAAAGAAAGCTTAGATCGTAGGCTTTCATTTGAATATTAAATAATCAAGATAGCTTTAAAACTCATCGAGGTATGGGCTGTGTAAGTTAAGGCATTAATTTTTTTCAAATGTAGATCTGCTTGATTTCTATTGACGGCAGCCCATATATTATACAAAACACAGTTTTTATATATAAAAATTCTTAAAATAGTATCATAACACAAAATTTTTTTAATAATTAGATTTATTAGTATAAAAAAAATATACTACATATTATTTTATTATACAAATTTTGATAGTAGCAAAAAATTTTTTATATATAGAAAAAATTTTAACATTACATTTATATTTTTTATTATAGTTAGGTTAACAATTTTTAATTCTATAAATTTCAAAACTCACAAATGAAGTTAATAGAGACAATTTCATTTTACAAATGTTTCAGTATACACAAGATTAGTTTTTTTAGATGAAACTGCTTATAACAGAAAAACTATACATTTTCTGTTTGAGAAGACGATTTACCATAGAAGGTGCATTGTGTATTAACACATTGTAATCAAGAAGGTTCTATGATTATAAAAATTTTATTGAACATGTTTTTTAGTATCAATTAAATATGGGTGATAATTTTTGAAATCAGACCAACGATGTAATTTAATTTATCATAGCTATTAAGAATTACATATATCAAATATTAAAAATTGGACCCGATCATGCCAAAGTCAATAACTTAACCGGATCGGCCGAAAACCATTCGGCTAATTTTTATCAGGTGTCCCAGGAATTATGAAAACAGCTGTAAAAAAAATTTTATAAATTGTTATATATAAGAAAAAAAAAGTCGGCTGGTCGAATTTATTTAAAAAGTTCATGTTAAGAGAATCAATAAATTAAATTTGCGTGCTAAATTACTGAATTAGCAATACTATTTCTTTTATACTATGTACTAAATTTTAATGTCTGTCTGTCACTTTATTGTAAAGTATCGTGATTTGGGTCACCCGTTAAACCCGGAAAGTCTTTAAGCCTGTAGGGAACGGATGACGGGAAATGAGATGTACGTACCGTATCGTATGCACTGACTCTAGCACCCCAGATACTATTCAATAAACCATCAGAATAGTACCCGCCGACGGGAGAGAGTACTATACTATAATAGTAGATAGGTGCTTTACATAGTTCATACAGTATTAGTTTTAATAAGAATACGTATTGGTATATCTACGTACCTAGAATAGCAATTGCCCCAGGTCTTCATGAGAATAGATTAGTCATGAACAAAAATTCAGTCAGATCGAACCAAAAATTCCGGGTCAGAATTGTTCAAAATTTTACCAATAACCAGTAGCCCGCATACTAAGTAAATCACTCGGACGATAATTTTTGCTATAATATAGTTGGCTAGTATTATTGCTTAGTGTCGACTTATACGTAGCAGAGTGTATATATAAATCATATGATTTATGAAATTTTAAAGATCGTAGCCCTAAGTATAATCGAATATATACTGTATTTGTGCATTAAGTAGTTTCAAGACATATACCGATACGTATTTCTGAAATTTTTCATATACAGTAAATTTGAATTTTTGTTAATTCATTTTCGTATTTATGTTTACACAAAAAATTTAAAATTTTTTTGAAAATACAAAGGTGAATTAATAAAAAATTATTAAAATTACACAAAAAACTTTACTAAATACACAAGTATAGTTTGACCTTACTTTTAGCTACGGTCATCGTTATATTTTTTAGCAAAATTTTTATCTATGGCCAATAGGTTTGATTGGTTAAATGGCTTTCTAAGCCATTTAGGCTTTGAAACGGTCAATGATTAATGATTAATCATTTTGTCATTTAGGTTATTTCAAGTCATTTACCATCAGTTCTAAATTGTTTGTACTCGGGGGAAAGAGAAGTGTCACAAGACCTATCGCTATGTTTACAGGTAGGAATGTTATTAGCTTTACGAAAAGCCAGCTTTAGCCTTAGATTTAAGCCAAGCCTAACGCTAACAAAGCTACAGCTTGAGCTATAATCCAATCTATTTTAAAACACGGCTTAAGCCAGAATAAGAATAACTCCAATCATAGCTGAAATCATTGGCTCCGGTTACAGCTCGAAAACATTTTTCACGGCTAAAGAGCATAATGTACATACATATATTATAATTATCTGTTATATATGAGTAAAAATAATCAAATGATTATATATACATGTACTAAAATAACCTATATTCAATGAGAAGATATGAAGAATAACTTACTAGATATAAATGTTGTCAAAATTTATTTTTATAATATATCAGATATTTAACAATTAATTAATCTCTACACATACGTATAAATATATATATATGTCGTGCCTCAGATCAATTCTTGCGTCAGATTAAAACCGGCCTAAGTTAGATTAGGGTTAGGGTAAGAATCTGGGAAGGATTTGGGCTTAATTTAAGTCAATCAATGTCGATCAGTTAATGCGGGCCAAAAAGTTGACATCTGACGCAAGCATTAATCTGAGGCACAACATATACATATATATATATATATATATAGTATATATACATAATACGTATAATTAAAATTACTGGATTGGCTATATCGATATAATTTAACGTTGGAGCGGCCTAATTAGCTTAAGCTATAGCTGGCTTAACTGTCTTGACTATAATTTAAGCCATATTAATAGCCATAGCTTTGATTATAACTGCTAAAATAATGGCTTAAGCTTTGGCTATAACTTCGCCAAGATTACATCCCTATTTACGGGCCGATAATTTTCTGAATTCCCACGGATTTACTTTTTTTTCACCCTCCATGGCCTGAGGAAGCCAAGTGTGCAAGCCAATTTGAGCACTTTATAGGTACACGATCTTTAGAATATAATATCCGGAAAGTCTGACGTAGAGAATAAATGAACCTAAAGTAAGAATAATCAAGCAATAAAAACAATAAATTGGATTAACTAATGTAGCGAGAATTTAGAAATTATAATGCACGAATTTTATATAACGCAGATTCATATATATACACAGAATTTGACGGAATCGGCAATTTATCATCATCACAACATCTAGTAGCCCAAAGTTTCTTAGGGCTGGTATACGTTACAATTGTAATCTAATTGAAGGTAATAAAAGAACTTTTGGTTGGGATAAACCCAAAAAATATCTGACGTAATCAAACGTAAAATGAATAATTATGACGAATGTTACAAGGTCTCATGATAATAATTTACGTCATTGGCATAGCAATAGAAATAAATAAAATGGCCAATTTATTCCTACAGATTAGTTTTAAAAAGAACCTTTTTTTAATTCATTACAATAATTATAATTCAAACTATGACGGATCCAAAGAAACCTCAAGAACAGACAGAAACTGACCTAAAAACTGGTGATGAAATCAAACAATTAAAGGATAAGGAGAATGTTGAAGATAAAAAACCTTTAGAGACCATTATTGAAGCTGCACGAACTGGTAAATTTATTTTATTTTTGCATAAAAAGATTTTTTATTTTTTGCGTGCTAATACCAATCTTTTTTTTAAAAAAAAATAGTCGCACTTGTAGATGAAAATGTTATGATGGCCATGCCTGAACTTTTGGAAAAGAGTTATCAACCGCAAAATGACACTTCAGTTCAGACCTAGCTTTATATCAAAAATGTTATACAGATAAAGTGAAATACAAAACTGATCTAATCTCTGAGAGATTATTCTATAATTTTATTTTGAAAACACTGTAATTTTTAACTAAATAATGCATTATGTTAGCAAAATGCGAGATTTGTATTTTTTTTTTTTTTGTTTCTTCATTTTAAATATGTAATAGCTACAGAGCTATTTTACAATATAATATTAAAGGAACTTGAAACATGATACAGTCGGCTCACTTTATTACAATTAGAATAGTTGAATTTACCAATTAGTGTTCTTCCAATTCTTTGCATTAAGAGCAAGACAGTATCTCCAATGTCGATTTTTTAAACTATGTGCTTCTATTCTATAGTGATCCTTTTTTATAATTAAAAAAATAGACTAAAACGGTCGACTTTTTTGAAATTCATATGCATTCTTTTTACATAACAATTAAATTTAAAAATCGACTTGTTTTTTTAATACATAAAAAAATAAAACGCCTAGGACAGTTTTTCGAGCACGTCAGTTATTTTTTTGTTTATTAAAAAATAAATTAATAATCGGTTTATGATTCACAGAATAATGTACGTACTTGGTAAATTGTAATCAACGACAATAACCCTAATTGGAAACATAAATTTGTAGATTTAATTTATATCTAAGTTAGGGTCTGCAACCAGGGCTCGTTCCTGGGCCTATCAGAAAAAAATTTACCGTTGCCAATATTCAATATTTTTTATTTTCAATATTTTATTCAAGTAAAAAAAGTTAGAGTTCCTATCCATTATCCGTTTATCCATTTATCTATTGGATATCCAGATCTGAATTTATGCAGATATCCGTTTACTATTGATATCCGGATAATTATCCGAATATTTGTCAGATTATCCGGATACCAATAGTAAATGGATATTAGATATGGATAAATGGATAACGGATTTATCCGGATTGGACCTTTAAAAAAAGTTATATAAAAAATTTTCATATAAAAAAAAGAAAATAACTAAAAATCACCCCAGGCGATTATCACTTGTGATCTACAATACATAAAAAAAAATAAATAATTTTTATCAAAACAAAAAATTAGCCTCTTTAAGATTAGGGTAAGGGTAAGGTTAGAGTTAGTTAAAATTAGAGTTAGAGTATTTTATATAGTAAAATTTAGCAAGGAATTTTTTTTTATTAGAGCTTCAAAGATAGTTTTGTAGACAAAATTTTGAGATATAAACCTTTTTTAAAAAAATTCTTTG